TTGTCATGTGTTGTTTTCATGTTTTTTGCATTGTTGTCTCTCTCTCTTTTTGACGTTTTAACAATTATAAACTGGCCAGAGTCGCTGGGAGTCAGGTGGCATATAAATGTAATCAGAGATTGGCGTCATATACTGTAACAACCGGTTCACCCAGAATTGAAAATATGACCGCATCCGGCATCGAAAAACTGGCAATTATAAAGGACGTGATAACGCCAGGGCGGATGGGCAGGCCCAGGTGCTGGTTGGAACTACTGGTTTGCCCGAACCAATCCGAACCGGTAGCAGCCCACCACTGAATGGATGGTTGCACAGTTAGCAAAGTGTTTAGACTGGATTTGGCATTCTGTCTGCTTATTATTAATCTCCCAGCCAATTTCTCTTTAAATCATAATATTACTGAAGACTTTAAAATGTTTTTCTCCATCCCGAAATTGACCTATTTGACTTGGGATTTTAGGAAGATACGAAGGAAGTCCTTGATTTCTAAGAACCTCTAGGAGTTATAATCAGATTTTAGTAGATTTAAATTTATTGATTTAAGATTCAAGGAAACAAAGGAGACTTAGAAACAAATCCACCCTGACTTCCCGTTCAAAGTATCCGTTCTTAGACAATCCAGATAGACAACAGTACAAAAATGTGCTTCTGACATTTAGAAAACAGAAATGTTTCTTGGCTCTTTTCAGGAGTAACTCATCCATTCTCTTAAAACTATCTAAATATTAGTTTGTTCCATCCTGCATTTCAAACCAGCCAATATAACTTATAATAGTGAGCCAGCCTGCTGATCTAGGGAATTATTCCACTACTCATTTCAAACGCAAAGGCACTTGATACTCTACCGTTTATTCTTTTTACAATTCTTATTCTGCCATGAATATTAGGAAAAAGAAAAGTATTCTTCCAGACTCCCCAAACAATCTAAACAGAGGCTTATATGTCATACAGCATGTAGGCAGGCACCATATTGCCTGATGAGATAGCAACAGAAACCTTAAGTGCCTTCATCGGCATTCTCTGTGTATTCTTGCCTGCTCATCTTATGGACAAAGAGGTAATTCAATCATGCTGCTGTAAACGGATGGTGCCAACCTCAAACACACCAAAGAAAAAAAAGGAAATAATCCACCTACTTTAAATCTGAGGTACTTGCATTCTTGTTACATTACGCATTTGAAAAAGATTTTAAAGAATCGTTCTACTAAATAGTACCATCAATGATAAAGTGCACATTTATGAATGTCATTTTAAATGAAGGTTCCTCTTTTAAAGAACCTTAACTGAATAGTGAATTTTACCACAGCTTGTCTTCCAGCTTTCTTGTTAAGCAAATTTAAAACATTATATTTTAATGTATTATATAACCTGCAACTGAAGGTTGGTTTATAGATCCCTTTTGAAAGAAATCAGAAGTTTGAAAGACAAAATGTAAGCAACATTTTTTTCCCAGTGTCAAACTTTAAAATGGCTGGATTCTAAACAGAACGCATAATGGGTTTCTTAAACTCAGTAAACTAGAGCAGTAAAGTTAGGATCAGGCTATATGAAGAACCCACTAGAAGTAAATCAAAGCAGTTCTAGTGAAAGTCACACATGGTACTAATTTGTTTATCAGTCATATCTTCAGGCCTCAAAGCATGCCACTATCATCATTATAAAACAAAATTTGTACAGAAATACTGTTTGACATATATGTGTGGGCGCACACTCTTACAGTCAAGAAGCTATGCATATGTATTCCATATGTGCGTGCATGCATGTATCATGCATGTATTTATATGGATTATGAAAACAATAGGGGATAGATAGAGAAATGTACATAAATAAAACAATGGAGCCCAATGTTATCCAAGAAAAGTTGTGGTAGTAAAGTGGTTAGAATGCAGTATTGAAGGCTAATTCTGTGGACTGTTGACTGCCAGCAATTTGATCCTGACCAGCTCAAGGTTGACTCAGCCTTCCATCCTTCCGAGATCAGTAAAATGAGGACCCAGATTGTTGGGGACAATATACTGACTCTGGAAACCGCTTAGAGAGGGCTGAAAAGCATTATGCAGTGGTATATATGTCTAAGTCTATTGCTAGTGCTATTACTATTTATGAAATAACCTGCCCATCATTAAGAATTTAAACAGAAGAATCAACTCCAGTATGAGATTTTTACTCTTAAGATTCAACATACAAAACAGATGCAAAGGAACTAAATGATTTTTCCTCCCATTTTGCTCTAGGCCGGAAGACGTCAAACTAAAAAATCTCAACTTCCACAAAAAAAGTACTTTCTGGAGGTATAGAAAATATATTTCCTTTATCAAACCAATATAAAATACCAATACAAATCCACATCCCTAGAACTGATATACTGTATACTCCTCCTGTTAATATCCCAATTTCAAAATAGTATTACTATATAGTACTATAGAATAGAGTAGAGTAGAGTAGAGTAGAGTAGAGTAGAGTAGAATAGCTATTGACCAAGTGTGATTGGTAACACAAGGAATTTGTCTCCAGTGCATAAGCTCTCAATGTACATACCACCAATAAGTGATCATGATCATAATCATAAAATACAATCATCACAAAGATCATAAGATACAAACTCAGTGATAGGATGCTAAATAAGCAAACAACATCAATCAAAATAGAATACTAAATAAGGCAATCAACATAATTCATGAGATACAAACAACAAAAATACTCATAAGAAGCTAATAGAAAAGATGAAAAGATGAGAAGGATAATAGCTACGAAAAGTTTGGTGGAAAAAAGGTTTAAAAAAAAAACTAATAATCAAAACCTCAGTAAAAACCTACCAATTAGCAAGGAAAGGCAGATCCAGTTAATTTGCTTTCAAAGATTATTCCATATGGTTTCATAAAAAACAGCATCCTTATCATTATTGACTTATTCTTTAGCAAACTGTAAGAACTAATACTAACAAGTTCCAAGCCATTTTCACTCATTTGTCCCTTCATTTGCCTCCTTTCTCTATCCCCACATTCAATCCAAATGCATTTCAGGAGGCACCTTTACAGCAGAGTTTGGGGGTGGCGGGAATAAATAGAGAAAACAGAATTCATGGCCAGGGTAGAACAGAATCCAGCAGTTATGTTATGCTCTAAGACACAGATCTAAAAAATAAAGCCCTTCCTTCCTTCCAAGGGCTCAAAAATGAAACTTGAATAGAGGATTTGAGGAAGCTCTGAAAAAGTCACCCTTTTTAAAGTCAGCTTTGCTCCTCTCTTTCAACTATTTTCATGATATTCATGGTAACAATCCTAAAATACTATTGCAGTCTAATAGGTCTGATACTATACTACAGGATACAATACTAGAATCCTGATAGCAATTATTATTGCAGTCTAACAGTTCTGAAATACTGTGGCAAAACTTTCCCACCAGGCATAAAAAGCCACAATAACAATAGAACTTAGATTTATATACTGCCTCATAGTGCTTTACAGCCCTCTCTAAGTGGTTTACAGAGTCAGCATATTGCCCCTAACAATTTGGGTCCTCATTTTACTGACCTCAGAAGGATGGAAGGCTGAGTCAACCGTGAGTCTGGTGAGATTCGAACTGCTGAACTGCTGGCAGCCGGCAGTCAGCAGAAGTAACCTGCAGAACTGCATTCTAACCACTGCACCACCACAGCTCAATGATAGAAAAATTAGAAGGTAAATTCACATAAGAGATTCCCAAAATAAATAACTCTATTAATGGCTTACATTCCATATTGCTCTACTGTTGGATGGAAGTTCCTATTTAATTTTTATGAAATATTGAAAAAGGGCTCATACCTTTTTTGAAAACATATAATATTTTATATCTGAAAATTCAGATACATACTTTAAGTGCCTAAACTGTTCAAATCAGTTTGTGACAGTAGCTCATAAACTGACAAACATGGATGAAAATACAATTATTACAGCCAAATTATAGGAAGCCAGATACAGTTTCAAATTATTCCTTTTCCCTGAGGAAGCAGAAAGTTCAGTAAAATAGTTCAACCGCATTATCGAAAGTCTGGTATATTTAATTATCTTTCACTTAAACAGCCTGTTGCAAAACTAATTGGATGATCATGTTTGCAGTAAACTAGAATTTTGGTTGTTCCTATCCTACTTTTTAATATGCATGAATTGGTTCTTACCGCTTGACTGTTCCTACTTGTTCTTTCCGAGTAGGAGTGGCTTAATAAACCCATAACTGAAAATCAGGTGATATACTGGTAGCCTTTTATTCCCATATAAGCTAGAATTTGTAAACCAGATTTTTGGAGCTCTGACCTATTGGATAATCAGTATTTTGATTGACTTGAGGGTTTCATTTCAAATTCTGCTTCCCCTGATAAAAAGGTCAACCAAAAGCCATTGATATACCTAGCAGACAGATGGAGACAATTGCCCAAAATGATCTAGGATTCTGGATGATCACTATTTGCAGCGATTGTATTTGCAGTTTATATGCACGTATTTATCATCATCTCACACTGTCCATCAAGCTACTGATAAATGTGCCGACATGTTCATATACCATAGCAGCTTGGGTGGATGAAGATAAACAAGCATTATATGAACCAAACCTCACCCACACAAGAGGTAAATGACTGTTTACAAAAAACTGTTGGTAATTGGCCATTATTCCCATGAGTTTCAGAATGTCAAGAGTTACCTTAATGTCATACTAGAAACATTAACCCTTAGCATCCTGGGATTATGCAGCTGCCCTCCATGAGAATGTAAAAAAAGATACAATTACTTTGGAGTTGCAGATGAGTGCGATGAGCACATAATTGTGTGCTCCAAAGCACATTCAAACCTGAAGTGCATGTCAGCCCTAATGGAGTGTATGTATGTGTATTATGTATTTGTGTGCATAAAATTAGAATGACCGTAAAATAAAAATAATGCATTTATACAAATAGGTACTTTCTACCTACAAACAGAAGTGTACTGTTTTAGGCCCTGATAAGGAGAAACTCCATTCATGCTTACCTCTCCCTTTTAGGAGTGTGGACTGACAACTGTCCATTGGTTGAGGCATGTGGGTTTATTATTAATGAGGGCTTTGAAGAGGCTGAAGAGGAGATACATGTGGTTGACAGATCCAGACTGCTATGGTTGTTGCTGGCTGCTTCCTCTGCTGTGTGAGATCCTGTCACTTCTTTCCAGAGTTGTTGGAGTTCGGTTGGAATCATGCCTAAAACAAAATTCACCGGTTAATGTTTACTAATCACTACTAAATTTAATCACTAGTTAATACAACTCCAAATGTAATTGACAGTGCTCGACATGGGGATTCCCTTGAAAAGTATCCAGAAATTTCAGTTGGTTCTAAATGTAATGGCCCATATAGTTTTGTGCAAATCTAGATTCACACATATGAACTGCATTAGTTGTCAATTTGCTTCTGGATCCAATTCAAGGTGCTGGTTATCACCTTTAAAGCCCTATATGGCTTGGGTGATTTGAAGGACCATCTCTTTCCAATTACATCTACCCAATCCACTATATTGGGGAGGCAGGCTATGTTATGATTTCCCATCATTAAAGAGATCCATCTAGTGCAGGGGTGTCAAACTGGCAGCCCATGGGCCAGATGCTTCAGGAGCAGGCCACGCCCATCCCAAAATCTAGCTAACAGAGTTATGCAAGAACACCGTGGAAACCACCAACAAAAAGCATTTTCAACATGCATTCCTGCTAGTGAGCCATGAAACCCAAAGCTACCCTAGGATGGCTGATGCCAGTGTCAGGAACACTATTTTTATATTTACATTCATGAACACCTGTGTTGAGCCTGAGCTGAACCTTGTAGCATAAAGACACACAGTTCAATCTTTTGACAGGTTGTCGCATCAGAACAGTAAAATGCTAGGCTTTTCTATTTGTGACCACAACAGACATAGGGAGAATAATTACATAGGTTCTTTAGTTGTACAATAGCATTTTGCATGTTAATGGCTTGCCAAGAATTATCCTGTGATAAGATGGGCAGCCAATACATTTTATAAATAAAAAATAATAAAATTAAAATTTGCTCGTTGGAAAACATGAATGCCTAAGGGCGGCAAATGATGACATATGCACATGATATTGTCATGCAAATAAGGTGGCTGCTGTACTTGTGTTAGTGGTCATGGTATGAATGACACACAAATTATACAAGCATGTCATTTGCTCAATGATATTATGACATGTATGTCATTTTGACATTGTGGCATGAAACTAACACCTATTTTGAAAATAAATCAAGATGGGGTAGAATTCCAATAATAGTTGAAGAGAATTATGATATACATTCCGAACATAAATGGGATTCCAAAAATCTAATGTAAGAGAAGAGTATTATTGGAATAGATGGATCATTGGTCAGCTCTAGCATGACACATGTCAATGTATAGGCTCATAAGCTCCATTATTTATCATCAGTGCTATTTGGATTGTAATTCAGTAATATGATTTCACAATTTTAATGTTAAGCATTTCAGTATTAAAGATAAGCATTTGAACTTGGAGTTAATTCCTAAACAACAGCATGCTGAAAAAATGGGGATGAAATGCAAGTTTTTTCAGAATGATAGAGATGTCTTCTTGGTCACCATAGAAAATAGAGACCGTACTGAGGTATTTATTTCATAATTTTTATCATTTTTAGTTGGATGATGATGAAAAAGAGACTGAATAAATGGGGTTTCATTTGCTGAAAGATGACAGAAAATGGTAACTTCTGTTTTGAAGCAAGGAAAGTCTTCAAAGAAAAAGTATCTCTGTTTTTATGATATCAGCACAAATGTAATTTTGTGCATGAATTGTAAATTATGACAAATAGCTTTGCTTTTAAATATAGTTTTATTAATTACTTTTAGACATAAATTATGAATTCATATTGTCTCCATGAAATGCTTTTTAAAATTTTAACAGTAAAATTGATTATACTGTGATTATGTCATTAAAACACCTATTTTTCTCATTAATTTTGGTTTTTAGCACTGCTCACTTGATAGATGTGCCTTATGTAAAAAACCTTGCAAATTCCTATACAACTAGCACTTTTGTTATTATTAGTTTCTTGATCAGTAATAATAAGCCGCTAAAGTAAAATAAAACACAAAATACATTTTCATGAGAAATATGTTCCTTAAGTAAAGGTAGCTAGCGAAATTCAGGAGATATTAAGATTCTTAACTAAACTGAGAATTTTAAAATACCTTTGTAAGATCAAATTTAGTTATGCAAAACCTGGAGTGACACATATTAATCCCATTCTTATGAGATTCTAAGTTAACAGCACATAAATGTTTGCAAACAACATTTGAAGGTATCTTGTCATATTGCTGTAGGCTGGCATGAAAAAGTAGTGTAAGAAATTTGTATTAAAGTCATGAAGAATCTATGTTTTCTTCAAAGTAATTCTCTTTCTTTTGAAAACTAAAGACTAGGGCCAAGAAATCCAGCTTCTTTGTTTCAAGGGACTGTATTTTTAAAAAAATCAGTGTGAGGGTGTGTGTGTATGGGGGGTGGGGGAGACTGCCATTTTCAAAATATACATCTGTATCTGAAACACAGCCATGTCTCTTACCAGACCTAAGGCATTAAATAAAGGCAGTGTGCATTAGATTCATTTGAAACACATAATAAAAAATGCCAAGGTCTAAATTTAATTTATTTTTGTCATTTAGAATACAATGGCTAGATAATCATCTTAACGTGATCAGCCAAACATCTTTACTTTGCTAAACTGTTAAAGATTTTAATTATGCTAGCTTTGGAGAGCAGTGGTCTAATGAGGCGATAGACTCCAGAGAATCTGAGTGGTTAAGAACTGTGAAATGAGTCTGATAGGATTTTTTTTTATATTCACCGTGGATCGTTTGCATATCAAAGAGGAGTAAATTATTGCACGGCAGACCAATAATCTTCCCCGCCTTACTCAGAATGCCATTAACAAAAACATTTGGTCTTTGCTATGGGGCTGACTAAAAAAAAAATGCAAAAATGTTCCCAATTAGTATATATTCTAAAAGATACTTCAATATTCAGTCGTCTGAGTCTTGTGATACATTTACTGTTATAAAGCGGTTTATTTCTTCTTTTATAAAAATAAATAAATGCCAAATATTCTATGAAGAAATTGGCCTCATGTGAGCGATTCACTATTATTCACTTATAACCTGTCCCCCCAAATTAAAGGTCTGAAGAAATTTGAACAAAGAAAAAGGTCACCGTGTAATCTTATGTCCTGTTTAATAGCAATGGAGCTATTATTTTCAAACCCCTTGCAAAGTGACAGAGTAGAGTATATTTTTAGCTTGACAGGACTGTCTCCACACTAACAATTACTGTGAATATGACCGACCCTTTCACCACTGTTTACTCAGTTGAAACAATAGTGAATGGACCTGTCTGTTGATGGGATAGTAGATACTAGATTGTGTGAGTCAATCTTACATGTTGAGATTCTACCAATATGACAAAATTATATTTACCATTATTATTCATCACTGTGAAATCTTCATGTGCATAGATTTTTTTTAAAAAAGATGGATAATACTATAACTGCTTGATTTTTGTTCATCTAGAAAATGCCATAAAGTATCTCAGTATATCAAGGGCAAAAGAGGAGAAATAACGCATTACAATCTCTACAACAAACTTTCCATAGAAGAGCAATTGACTGACATTTATGAGGGCATCTGTGCACACAACACAAGTAAAACCCAGATTTGTGTATAAACTTATATAGCAACATCTGGAACAATTCACCGGCAGAAGATTATAGATTAGATGGCTTTAGGCAAAAGAATCCAATTATGATGTCATAGAGTAAAATTAAATATCTCAATAATTATATGCACTTTTACAAGCACTTGTGGATTCTTATCAGTTTTGTTATCCATAATTTTGTGTACCCTAAACAGAATCAATATACATGTAAAGGTGTTCATTTATATGGTTTGTTATTGCTATTTTGTACGTTCACAAAATAGTAGAGGGGCTTTTGTGCATGTAAAAGGTTTTTTTTAAAGTGTTGTAGTCTTTGCACAACATGTTTGCCCTCCTTCTTACCAAAGGAGAGTAGATCTGACTGAATTAATCCAGCTGCAAAACTCCATATGGCTTCCTGGAAGCAGTTGAATGCCTTTTTCTTTGGAGCAATTCAGTGGTGGTGGAAGGAGTTGCTTACTCAGACCACATGGTTCATGCTGGCTTTTCTCTTCCACACAGTTCTTCTCAATCTCAATAGAAGAGCTGCTTTGTCACATTGCTGGATTTTAGTGTTGCCACTACTTGCATTTTGCTCTAGTGACCAAAAGGCTTTCTCTGAAGCCTTTGACCAGAACACTGGCAATCACGGCTGGAAGTGTTCCTTTGAGCAGGAAAATTATAAAAATCTGCTCATTCTTGGAGGCTACAGAAGGAGAACTATCCTAACTTGTCCAGAACTATCCACAAGAACTAGCTACAAGTGGTCTTCAGGAGGCAAGCACCAGTGATGCTATTAAGAGACCTCTCCAGCAAGGTCATGAAAGAGACACTGAGAACAAAAAAGCCAGCACAGATTGCTTCCTTCCAATACCAATTAAGTCTGTCACTTTGAAGGCTAAAAAGCCACTGGAGTTCTATGATTGTGCTAATGCTCCATGCATGCATTTATATGAATTATGAAAAAAATAGGGGATAGATAGAGAAATGTACATAAATAAAACAATGGAACCCAATGTTATCCAAGAAAAGTTGTGGTGGTACAGTGGTTAGAATGCAATATTACAGGCTAATGCTGCTGACTGCAGACTGCCAGCAATTCGATCCTGGAGTCAAAATTAGTGCAGAGAAGGATGGCCCAATACACTGTACAGACAATCTGTATGTTATTCTGGAACTCAACCTCCCCAATTTCCATAAACTCAAGATCTCATTATTTACAGCTTCATCATGTTAGGGAAAAAAACCCTCAAAAATAAAAAAGGATCATCTGTAATCATGTACTTTCTTTTAGCATAGACAAATAAGTGCACAAATAGAACATCTGTTTTGTTCCATGCACAAAACAAACTCATTATGATTCAGTCCAGTTGAACCAGTTCAGGGTAAGTTGTGGTCTAGCTAAACCAAAAGCTAACAAGTGTTTTGACCGAGACAAATTTCAGGTCCTATAGGACAAGGCTGATATCCCTCTTTCCCTACTTGTCATGGCCT